GGTCACATTTGGGGTCATTTATCAGGGTCAGCGCATGGATTTGGGGTCAGCACACGGATTTGGGGTCAGCAGGTCACATTTGGTGTCAGCAGGTCACATTTGGTGTCATTTCTCAGGGTCAGCGGGTGGATTTGGGGTAATTTCTCAGGATCAGCAGATGGATTTAGGGTCAGCGGATCACATTTGGGATCACATTCAGGGCCATCAGCACCCTCACCTTGTCCACCTCCAGCGGCCGCCCGTCCTTGGTCCAGCTGACCCTCAGCAGGGGCGGGTTGGCCCTGGCCGGACAGCGAATCACRCCCCTCATGCCCTTGGGCAGCGGCGTCTCGGGCAGCATGGCCGTCACCTCCGCCGGGTCTGAGGGGACAAACGGGGCTGGGGTCCCCTCCGTGGCGCCCCAAAAGGGACCCCCGCGCTCGGGGGGATTTGGGGAGGGGTCTCACAGAGCACGGTGATGAAGGCCGAGGCCGAAGGCGGCTCCCAGAGTCCGTTGCTGGGCGTGCACGTGTAACGGCCGGCGTCGTCCGGAGTGGCACGCTGCAGCAGGAGGCTGCCGTCCACCAGGACACGGACACGGGACTGCAGGTGGCTGTGACACGAGGGGACATGGTTGGGACCGGCCTTGTCACCCTTGGGGTGACAGATTTACCCCCAGATTTACCCCCCAGACTGTCCCTGTCCCCATCCCTGTCCCTGTCCCCACAGGAGGTTGCCATCCCCCAGGACACGGACACGGGACTGCAGGTGGCTGTGACACGAGGGGACACGGTTGGGATTGTCCCTGTCACCCTGGAGTGACAGATTTACCCCCAGACTGTCCCTGGTGCCATCCCTGCCCCTGTCCCCACAGGAGGCTGCCGTCCACCAGGACACGGACACGGGACTGCAGGTGGCTGTGACACGACGGGACATGGTTGGAACTGTCCCGTCACCCTTGGGTGAAAGATTTGTCCCCAGACTTTCCCTGTCCCCATCCCTGTCCCTCTCCCCATCCCTGTCCCTGTCCCCACAGGCGGCTGCCGTCCACCAGGACACGGACACGGGACTGCAGGTGGCTGTGACAGAGGGGACACGGTTGGGATTGTCCCTGTCACCCTGGAGTGACAGATTTACCCCCAGACTGTCCCTATCCGTCCCTGTCCCCATCCTCCTGTCCCTGTCTCCGTCCCCGTCCCCATCCCTGTCCCCCTGTCCCCGTCCCCGTCCCCATCCCTGTCCCCCTGTCCCCATCTCTGTCCCCATCTCCATCTCTGTCCCCTTGTCCCCGCCCCACCTGAGGTGGAACATGTTGCTGCTGCCCCGTTCCTGTCCCCGTCCCCCTGTCCCCCTGTCCCCATCCCTGCCCCACCTGAGGTGGAACACGTTGCTGCCGCCCCGGAACCAGCTGTAGGTGAGGTTGCCCGGGTAGGCCTCGGCCTGGCACGCCAGGAAGGCATCTTGGGACACGTTGACGGTGACATTCTGCGGTGGCACCACGATGACAGGCGGCCCTGTGGGGGGTGGCACAGAGGGGACGGTGAGGTTTGGGGACAAGGGACACAAAACCAGCCGTGTCACGGTATCACTGTCCGGCCTTACCCTGGACCAGCACGCGGGTGCTGTGGGTGGCRGTGCCCTCCTTGCTGGCCGCGTGGCAAGTGTAGGTGCCAGCGCTTGCTCGCCCCACGGCGGCGATGGTCAGCGTCCCGTTGGTCACCTGCGGTGGCAGTGGCGTGGCGCGGTCAGTAGGGAGGGGGTGTGGTCAGCAGGGAGAGGGTGTGGCCACCAGGGAGGGCGTGGTCACTCAGGGACAGGGTATGGCCACCAAGGAGTGGGTATGGCCACTAAGGGATGAGTGTGGTCACCAAGGTTGGGGTATGGCCACCAAGGAGGGGGTGTGGCTACCAAGGGACGGGGTATGGCCAAGGGATGGGTATGGCCACCAAGGCTGGGGCACGGCCACCAAGGGACAGGGGACGGTCACCAAGAGATGGGTGTGGCCACCAGGGAGGGGATGTGGTCAGCAGGGAGGGGGTGTGGTCACCAAGGAGGGGGTACGGCCACCAAGGAGGGGGTGTGGCCACCAAGGGACAGAGCACAGACACCAGGGACAAGGGACGGTCATCAAGGGATGGGAATGGCCACCAAAGGACAAGGGACAGCCACCAAAGGACAGCGCATGGCCACCAAGGGACAGGGTATGGCCACCCAGGGACAGGGGACCGTCACCGAGGGGGTGTGGCCACCAAGTGACAGAGCACGGCCACCAAGGGACAAGGATGTGCCCCGTGGGCAGGGTGGTGACAGCAGCGAGATGCCACCTGCTGTCCAGCCCCGCAGGTCACCACCACCAAGAGGTGACCACTGGCCTGACCTGCACGCCRGCCCCGCTCTGGACGGGCCGGTCACTCCTCCTCCAGGTGACCACGGGCTGGGGGTTGCCCGTGGCCCGGCAGGTGAGGGTCAGCGCTGACCGGACYCGCACCTCCACCAGGGCGGGGGGCGTCTCCAGGAACGTGGGGGGCGCTGGGGGGGATGGACAAGGACATTGAGACCCCAGACCCACCAAAACCGAGACCCCAGACTCATTAAACCGAGACCCCAGACCCATTAAACCGAGACACCAGACCCACAAAACCGACACCCCATATCCATCAAATCCACATCGAGACTGAGACCCCAGACCCACCAAAACCTCACCCCCAGACCCGGCTCAGATCCAGAGCCACCCCCTCCCCGTGTCGCACCCTGTCCCTGTCCCCGAGGCCACCACTTCCTCCCCGTGTCCCTCTCCCCGTGTCCCCCTCCTCTCTGTGTCCTCCTCTGTCCCCATGTCCCTCCCTCTCCGGCCACCCCCTCCCGGTGTCCCCACTCCCTGTGTCCCCCTCCCCATGTCCTCCCGCTCCCGGTGTCCCCCTCTCTCCGGCCACTCCCTCCCCGTGTCCCC